AAATGAGCAAATCGACGAAAAAGATGACAAAAACTGAATTTTCGCGAGGAATGTAGTTCATCCAAGGACGAACCATAGTCCGTCTGTGACGTCATGAGTTTGAACGCTGGCTAGAAGCTGCATCCATGCTTCCGTCAAACTACGTTCAATATGACGTCATGAGTTTCTCGCTTTCTCGCGAAAGCGTTTGTGTTCATGAAATCATGGAAGTAGTTCGTCGCGAAAATTCAGTTAAAAACGAACACGGCATATTCTCGTGTTGAATCAGTGACGTCATGTCAAAATTGGTTCAAACCGTTTTAAAACCATTTTCTCGCGCCGAGAAATTATATCGTCATGTGACACTGTTTTAAACTTTGAAAATTGTTTTAAAGCAGTAGTTGTATTAGTTCGGGCTTGAGCACTCAGATGCAACAAACCCTTTTCCAAAGGAATAAGCGCGTAACACGTAAAGTCCCGGAACTCCTCCTAGGTGTGAAAGGAATACAACTACTATAGGATTTCTACGCTATATTTAGGATGACGTCACATTTAGTAAATTTCTCCTGCAACCCACCAAAACTAAAAGTACTTTTTAACGCATTTAAAGTTAAAGTAGGGGAATTTCAGATGTTTTTGGTTAGCAACGGCGCGAGACGTTGCATGACTTGTATAAACATTTTCATTTCGTTATTTTTAGTAAGTAGTAGTGGTAAATTATAAGAAAAAAATTGGCATTGACAACATTGTCTGTTTTTATTCGATGACGTCATCCTAAATATAACATAAAAAACCTATAGTTGTATACCTTTCAAAAGTTTAGAATACTAGAGCTTTTCGCTCCGGTGTTAGTGGACCCCGATTTGAAAGGAACAGATTATGCGCTGGCTTTCGTGCATTTGAATGGCTTAGTTCGGGTAGGTGCAACAAACACTTTTCGAAATGAATAAGCGCGTAACGCCCGGAGCTGATCCAGATCTCCTCCTAGGTGTGAAATGAATACAACTATTTGAGACGCAAGAAAACCCCTTTGACTTGACATTAGAGCCGCTTTCCAGCATGGGAGTGTGACGCCCGGAGCTACTCGGGGCGTTGAGCCCCCGAGCTGTACGTACGCGTCAACCTATCAGCTGTCACATCCGTGGGTGGCTATTTATCTATTTATCTCTTGTTATATCTCAAGATTGAACATTTTAAAATATTTAGTTTTGATTCTCTTTCATTTTTGATAAATAAAAAAACAAACTACACAAACAAACAAACAGAAAATTATTTTTAAAATTTGACATATTTGACACTAAGACAGGCGTCTCACGCCATGATACTGGAACGGTACAAATCTAGTGCGTGGCGCCCCCGAGGTGCTCTAGAGCGCGCCAGAGCGCGCCAATGTGCATACTGGAAAGCGGCTATTGTTTACCCTGGAGTTATGCTTAGCCCGGGGGTGACCTGCTATTGACAAACCGGTCCCTAGAAAGCTTCGGATGGCATTATTTTGGCATTTTCCACCCGTTCTTAACCTACCTTGCGTTCGGCATCTTGCCGTTATCACGTGACCAGCGAGCGAACAGAACAGTTGAACGCTGTATCATAGCGTTTTCTGTTGGTAAAACTCGTGCTGCCCGAGTTCTGCACTCAACACTGAATTAGTTCACGTTTAGTGCGATCCCAAAAGAACATGAATTTGGCGGGTTTTGTCATTCTTTTCAAATTTATTATTTAAGGATCCCTATCCCTAACCTAACCTAAAAATAAATAACCATATATTTTCAATAGAATAAAAATTAAAAACGTTTGTGTGTATGAAAAAGTTGAAAACGGAAGTTTTTCCTGTGTGTAAAGTACATAATTATGCTGTCTCCCGAGATGTGCAGCAATAATTCCAATGATACCTTCGTTGAAATTAATTTTTATGTCAATTTCAATAAAATTTTGAATTTATGTATATAATGTATATAATAATTTTTCCTCTTCATCGCTGTCGCTCGACGAAGATAAAAAATATAGAATTTCATCAATATCGATATTCATAATTTTTTAGTTTTGTTTATACACAGAATTTTCGGCACTTTACGCCATTTTTGTTGTGCTCTGACATTGGCACGAGCTCTCTGACCTCGTGCTGGAAAACTTGCACGAGGGCAATATTTGATTGCCCTGGTTTTCCAATAGAACATAAAAACCCGCTCGAGAACTGCCAACAGAACATAATTTTTGCATGAGTGCAGCACGAGTTTTACCAACAGAAAACGCTATCAGAGTGCCTGAAATTTTAATAAACGAGCGCGAATGAGCCTCCACCAAGTACACTATTTAAATGAACGAACGGTAAATTCGAACTCGGAGAACTCAGATCAAAATACCGAACGCACGGCTAGGATATGCCATATTGCCCGGACCCAACATATTTTGAAATTTTTATTTACTTTCAATAATGCCGGATTGTAGCACCATTGTCGACGTCATTTACTAAGTCGTCAGCTGTTTGCGCCAGCGGTCATAGTTTAGAATTTAAAATTATGATGAAAAATATAATTTAATTTTAATTGAACAGAGTTGTTTTAGAATGTTAATTAATATTGTAAAATCATTGCCAAGTATGCATAAAGCAAAAGCCCACTGATCATAACATGTGGTTCAAACACCCTACTTCAAGAACGAGAATCGCGTCAAGACGAGAAACGACCAATGAAGTAGTAAGAAGGTTGGAATTGGAATAGTCCTTTGCCTATCTACTCAATATATATTTTTGCGGCCAACATTAGAGTGAGAGAACAGGAGAGATCCGTGAGATTTTCTGCCCTTACTAGCGCTATCTCATCAGGGTTAGAGTGAGAGATATAGGAGATCCAATAGACTTTTTGCCCTTACTAGCGCTATCCCATTCTGGAATCAATTGAATGTCGTAACGCCCATTCCAAACCTTCTTTCTACTCATTGGAAACGACACGCTGCACGTCATCACTGGTGCTTTGGTATGATGACGGGCTTGAGATTTGAACTACACAGGCCTCATCAGGATAGGCTATCCTGTAGTAGTATTATGTATTATCCTTGGTTTGCACCGACCATTTTGGGAGGTTTGGTTTAACGCTTAGGGCTGGGTCCTCAATAGCAAGTAGGGATGCCAAGTTTTTGAAATGGAAAATCGGAAGGTTTGAGTGGGAGGTTTGAGTGCCACACCCAAATTTTTACGAAACAGTCGTTAAAACACCCTGTCAAATATTCGTTTTGTTAAACAAAAAAACAAACTATATACTTGCCAACTCGTTTTTTCCAATTTTTCCGATTCAACCATTGGCTTCAACATAATGCAAATCTCCATAAGGCTCCCTAGATGACGTCATAAAGTTACCCATCATTACCAGACAATAACTCTGGCAACAAAAACCCTAAATAATAAATAAAAATGCAAATGCCCGATAGCGAAAAAGAAATAATTCTTTTGCTAAATATTGAATTATAAGTCAAATGCGAAATTGTTGAAAAGCGGAAGTTAGCGGGAGGTTTTTAGAAAGCGGGAGTTTTTGCTGCGATGTTTTACGGCGGGAGGCATGACAAAAAAGCAGGAGTCTCCCGCCTAAAGCCTAGTACTCATAACTGCGAAATTCGCATTTTTTTGACATTGTTTTCGCAGTTATGAGTACTAGGCTTTAAATCGGGAGGTTTGGCAACCCTAATAGCAATAAGTCACCCCCGGGTTAAGCATAACTCCGGGGTAAACATTGCAACTTGAAGGGCCGGTTTCTCAATAGCGAGTCACCTCCGGGGCTGCGTTCAGGAATGGCTACAACCAAGCCAAAATTGATATTTTGCGTTCGAGTTCGGCTCCAACCTACGTGGTTCGGCATTACCGGTAGAGGGGGAAATAGTTATTTTCCTAACAAGTGCGCAAAGTGTCACTTTTCCTCACGCAAACACAGTTATACGAACGACGCGAAGCGGAGTTCGGATACGTGTTTGCGTGCGGAAAAGACACTTTGCGCACGTGTTAGGAACAACATTTTTCCTACGAGCTTCATATCAGGTAGGTAACAAGATTTTTTTTTTTTTTTAAACCCATAATTTGTTCAATTATTTTTAATTAACTTGAAGCGAACCTATACATTTATCAAAAAATTACCTAATAAAAAAAATAACAGAAAATCCTCGTCAGAGCTGTTCATCTTAAAGCATTTAAATTTGATGATAAAGTTTGTAGATTCTTGCATATAAATAGAGAACAAATCTGACAATGTGTCAAGGTTAATTTATATTTGGTGTTTGTATTGATGTTGGCTGATATAGAAACCGAGAAAAAATTTGTCATCATGTGTCAAAGTCGACAGGTGCACTTATTGTTGCTTGACAAGTATTTTTACTTTTCGGCACTCAGTGCGGATAAGGCCTGTATCCGCACTGAGTGCGGAAAAGTGTAACTTTGAGCCCTGGAATGCGTGCGGAAAAGTACTTCTTTGCGCACGCTCGTAGGAAAAATAGGTTTTGGCATTAGCATTGCCGTTCTTGAACGCACCCCGGGTTAATTGTAACTCCAGGAAAAGCGTGTTGAGTTGCTATGTTTACCCCGGAGTTATGCTTAACCCGGGGGTGACTCGTTATTGAGAAACCGGCCTGAAGACGTTAAAACCAACCCAGAGGTGACTCGCTATTGGGAAACCGATCCTCAAAAAGATTGGCATCGATATTACTAAGCAATATAAGCCGCTTTCCAGTTGACCATTTTGAGCACGCAATCGAGCTTTTGCGCGTGCAATTGCTTCAAGCGCGTGTTCGTGTTCCAGCCGTACTGCGCTCTGAGAGCTGCTACCTTTGCGTTTCAAATACAGAAGACTGTGCTGCACCGTGCTTGAAGCACACAGCTGGAAAGCGGCTATAATATCACTATCGATGTTCAACATCGATGTCTGGCGATCAGATGCCACATCACTATTCTCAACATCTCAACGATCTATAAAAGAAAGGATCTAGGATGTAGTGGCAACACTGTTGTGACGTCACAAATAGGCGTTGTCAAATAATCGGGCGAAACGTCAAACAAACTTTTTTGGCAGTGGCAGTTAGACGAAAAATCTCTTGTGGTTTTGTCATGTCCTAGCAGCAATGTTTTTATTATATATTTGTTTACTTTTGTTTTCACAAGTACACTTTTTCGCAGAAGGTGAGCCCTTTTATTAGATAACAATTTTATTATAATTTATTCATACAGTTTCTATTTATCATTATCAAAACTTTTTATATGTGGACAGGATAAGGTTATGAACAAAAATTTTATTGTTTATTTATCAGTAATTGTTAATGTATTTTGATAAAATATAAATTCCTTCTCATTTATCACTCAATACCACACATAAAACTCTCCGATTAACTACCTAAGCATTAATTTATTTTCATGACTCATTATTAATTTATTCATTATCACTTTTCTAGGTTCATATTATAGCGAATATGAATGCAACACTCCTTTGCTTCAACACTCCAAACTCGATGCTACATCTTCAATGAATGATAGAGGCCCGAATAATGCAGTATTGTATGGTAAGAATTTAATGTACCTTGATAAAATAGTGTTCTAAAAACTAATAGAAATCCCCAATCGGTAATTAGAAAGATTACATCGTAAATGAGCCTGTTCATAATTAAAGCCCATTTCCACTCAATGATTCTGTTTCTAGCCTACATTTTTATCATATAATAATTCAACCGAGAATTCAACTGATATTTCATTCCATTGCATTATGTTCTATTAAATTGAAATTATAAGATGTTTTGAAAACTTGCAATAGACTATAAACCCTCACTATTCTACCCATACAAAATGAATCTTATTTGTGTTAGGACCCTTCAAAAGGCACTGATTTCACTTGTAATTTCAAATTCCAAATAATGTTCTATGAAAAAAAAAAAAAAATAAGAAAAAAAGTTCCTATGAATATGGGTCCAGAAACGTTCCGTTTCCGAGGCATTGGAGCTAGAAATTCAAGAAAATAAAATGTTTTTTTGAATTATATTTCTCAATTTCTAAGACAAATAGCTCAAATTTCGTACAGAGTGTACATCTTTTGTTCTTTTCCAAAAATGGTCACAATCGTCACGATAAATCAAGGGGTTGGTCTTTTTGGGGGGGGGGGGGTGACACCACCCAAAACCACCCTAAATTTCTTATCATCAGCACATTTTCAATTAAATTTTTTTGAGTCACTAGCTTCTCCGTTTCATTGCAAAGGTTTTTGGTACATATCTTGCAATTTTTCCGTATCTCAATTAGTTTTGGCAGTGTTTTCCATAAAAGACAAAACATCCCTTTATTAATCGTAAAGATTATGGCTATTTTTGAAAAAGAACAGAAGATATATGCTCTGTACGAAACTTCCGAGGAAATCTCGGCTATTTATCTTAAAAATTCAAAAATATATTACAAAAAAAATATAATTGTTTTTTTAAATTTCTATTACCAATCCCTCGGAAGCGAAACGTTTCTGTCCTGGTTTCTGTACCTCGGAAACGAAACGTTACCGACGAAACGTTTCCGGACCAATGTTTATAGGAACTTATTTTCTTATTTTGATGAGTTATAGCCACCCTTAAAGTTTTTATCACTATTTCTGAAACACCCTGTATAGGTAATGCCAGCTTTTTACATTTAACTATTTGATAGGATGTACAGCATGTTGGCTTTATAGTTAGCGGATTAGCTAACCTATTGTGCACTTTTTGATAAAGGCACCAAATTTGGCACAGAGGTAGACCGATGTAATATGAACAAATTTGGATGTGGGGATCACCCCATTTGTGCTAATGTTCATTTGCTCTACCCACCCGAAGTCGCCTTCGGGCGGGAACGTCGGACGAGCCGAAGTCCGACCGGAGTATGACCCTCATCGAAACGAATGCAGTTGTTGTAGCGCAAATGGGTACAGCGTTGCCGTTCCCTCTCCATCTGGCGAGTATTTAAAATAGAAAATAGAATTCTATTTCGATATTTTTCAAGTATTGAGTGGGTGTGGTGTTTTGTTTACTTTAAAAATGGAAAATTTTAACTTTTAATATTTTATTGGTTAAATATTAATTTATTTTAACCTTCCATCGCGAGTTTTATAACATCATTAGTCACGCTGTATCACAGAGATACATATACTAAATCATTGATAAAAAAATTGAACCATCTGATGAATTTCGGTTTTACAATTTCTATGTATTGATTCGGGTACTCAACAATCAAAGATAGAACATTTTCACTGAGAAAGAGATTCCAGAAGTTGAATTCTATTTTCGCTATCTTAATGTTTCGAGCGCGCTCGGACTGCTCGGAGTTTACCGAGTGTAAAGCCACTGTGTGCAGAAGCTAGTTTCTGGATAGGAATTAGCAAATAAGCTATCCAAGTGCTCCTAAATAGTCGAAGAAGAACAGTCATTCAGATTTTTTTCATTACCAGGAATCACCTTTTCTACATTTAAAATCGATGAAGAAACAAGCACAACCTGAATCGCAAGCATCCCATCGAGGCTTGCGGGTGACGTCACCACTATAAGAGGCTATGCTGCTAATAGTACTAACGTCACTCGCAGGCCTTGCCGACTCGAGAATTGGCGAACGTACGCCTTATAAGGAAAAGCAATCCTATAGTTTATGATTCTTGCTATGCAAGTGTTTCCAAATAGTCAAAGAAAATTTGATCAGTTAATCATTAAACTAAATAGAGATTTTTTCTCATTATTAGGAAATGGAAATTGTTGGCTTCACGTTTAACTAGTTGGTGGTTAAAAGCTAAATTTTTTCTGGATAGGACTTAGGTGCTCAAGTGCTCCTAAATAGTCAAAGAAAAACATGAATTAGTTATATTATTTGAATTATAGATTTTTTTTGTATTATTATAGGGAACTGAACTACTGGCCTTACGTTTACTTGGGGGTGTAAATATTTGCAGCGAAACTGATAACACTGATAACAGTGGCTATAATGTTGTAATAATTGGAATTAGGTGCTATCTTAGTGCTCCTGAATAGTCGAAGAAAAACTTGAACTATCTAAAACTTCAACTTTTTGGGAGCACTTAAATAGCACCAAATTCCAATACAACATTTTAGTCGCAGTTTTCAGATTCGCTGCAATGCAAATACATCCCCAAGTAAATGTAAAGCCAGCAATTCCTTAATGAAAAAAAAATTTGTACTTCAGTTTAATAATTAACCGATTCAAGTTTTTCTTCAAATATTGAGAAGCACTTAAATAGCACTAATTCCTATCCATAAACATTTTAGCTCTGACACACCACCAACTGAACGTGAAGCCAATAATTTGCCAATAATGAAAAAAAACTGTAATTCAGTTAATAATTAACAGATTCAAGTGTTTCTTTGACAATTTAGGAGCACTTAAATAGTAGGTACCTAAATTCAATCCAAAAACATTTCAGCCTTTAACGGTTTAACGGCCAATTTCATGATAGAGAATTAAAAGTTACTTTAGCTAAATAGACTTTTAGGATGGGATTTTTCTACTTCAAATGGACCTTTATATTTAAAGTTTACTTTAAGTTGATTATGAAATTGGCTGTAAGCCTCTAACACACCCCCAATAAGTAAACGTGAATCCAGGAATTTCCTAATATTGAAAAAAAATCTGTAATTCAGTTAATAATTAACTGATTCAATTTTTTCTTTGACCAGGTATTTAGGAGAACTTTAAAAAGCATATTATCTAAATTCTGATACCAAAGAAAAATTTAAAAAAATATTTTTCACTACAGGGGACTGCTATATTTCATATTAACCTAGCAATCCCTTCGTTTTTTTCCATATGGGACTGCTAGGTTTATTGCCCTAATATTCTGGGAAATCAATAAATAATACAACCCCATATGATTTTAAATCTGGGGAGATACTTTGATAGGTATATGTATTATTGACTTTACATTTATAAATAATTTTACACGTCTGTATAAACTCTACAAGGACTCTACGCTTTAATAAATAAGTATATTATATATTTCTAAAATCTTAACTCTACTGTAGACTGTAGTTAATAAAAATAAAGTCCACAATCATTCACTAAATACAAATACATTTTTTAATTTATTTTTATTATTATCAGCTGATTACACCAGATGTTCCGCGCGCCCGCCGCGTACACAAAACCTTCATAAGCTTCAACTACTCTTGCTACTCCTCCGCGATCATGTTAACTGATCCCGATCATAGCCGATCGCGTTCGTGAGTAGACCATTTGCGGATTAGCACAAATGCACAGTAGCACAAATGGAGCCATCTCTGGATGTGGAGCCATTGGCCAACTGCCCCCCAGCAGCCGTGGTGGTGATTTTCCAAAATGGTTGCCAGTACCCCGAAAGACAATCTCATCTCCATGAGGCAAGCCTCTGCACTCCAGACGCGTTATCAAGTTACCCAATACCAGGCAACCTATCAACTTTAGGAACCTTGGTATCACTCGACCCCCTTTCTGTTTGTAATTTTGGGGGTACCTACCTGTCACCCTCGCTTAGGGATTGACAGGTAGGAGGGTGAAAATACCAATAAAATGGTCGAGTATCGAGCACCCTGTTTATACAAGGTGTCCTATGACGTTTTACACAGGTGATAACTTCGGCATGCCTTATCCAATATAATTGAAATTTTGAGGATCTGGGTGACTTTTTGTGCCGCTTCTACATATGTCATCCAATTTCACTTTCGCTTCAGTTTTGGTCAAGTGACGGCAACTTCAGAAGCTTAAATGTAACTGATGGTATTATATCATTTTTCGTTGGAAAATTAAATTACAAAATCGGCAATGCCATATTTGCCATTAAAAAAAATTATAGAAAGTTACAAAGTGGAACATTCGATGACGCGTTCTGAAGTTGTTCACCTGAATAGAACGTCGTGGGACACCCTGTATATACAGGGTGGGGCACGAAAAACGTCTCACCCAGGTTTTCTCAGGTGTTAGGTGATCAAGCAAAAATCGCTTGACCATTTTATTGGTATTTTCACCCCCTACCTAATGTCAACCCCTAAGCGGGGGTGACAGGTACCTCCAAAATTTCGAACAGAAAGGAGGGCGGGGTGATACGTAATTTGATAGAAGTTTTTATTGAGATTTTTATCCTCGAAATTTTTAGTTGCTACTATATTTACCATGCCAAAATTGCGGCTTGTCAAAGTTAGGAAATAGTACATTGTTATCGCTCGAACCTCCATTTGAAATTTTGTGGGTACCTGACACTCTCGCTTAAGGGTTAAGGCCACTTGAACTAAAATATAAAAGGAAGTAATCGAGAACTCGAGAAGTAATAATTTTAGTAGCCATTACTACAAGAACATTTGACATACACACTTCAACATTTGATGCAGTAAAGGAACTTTTTTTTATAAGTAATACCTAAATAATTCTAATTAAAATAATACCTCAATCACAATGCATTCCTAGGAAAAATAGATACTAAAAAATAAATACTTAAAAATAGAACATCACTTAAATACATTTATATTATCGATAGACAAATTAATAGAATAGGTATAAACTAACAAAGGTTCGA